GGCGGTGGTTGGGAGCATGGGGTTGATGGCCGCCGCCAGGCTGGTGAAGAAGTCTTTGAGGAAGAAGATGGCGTCCTGCGGAGGCGGGGAGCGGGGCTCAGGTGCGGGACGGGGGGGCGTGGCTGGCTGCAGGGACCTGGGACCCCTGCTCACCTGATCGACGTTGAGCCGCAGCGGCATCAGCGAGACGCGGAGGCAGCACTCCGGGGTCCGCAGGCTGGCCGTGGGGGCCACGTGCAGCGCTTTGATGGTGAGCTGGGGGGCAGGGTGAGCTCTGGGTGTCTGGGTGACAGGCACCGCCCCCCAGCTCGGGCCTGGACAGGGGCCGCCCCGCCCAGGCCTACCATGTTGGAGTGGGAGCGCCGTGGCATGCGCTCGCTCGTGTGCAGGTACAGAAACTTGTTGATCTGCGAGGAGGCCAGGCGGTCGCGCACCTCCAGCTCCTGCACGATGAACACCTGGCGCGACAGGGGCTGCTCCTCTAGCCCCAGCACGGGGGCCGAGGGCTCTTCGGGGTACACCTCGTGCTGGAAGCTCACCTGGGGGGCGGGGGCAGTCTTCAGCCAGGACCCCAACCTGAGCGTGGCAGTCACGCCCAAACCTCCCACAGGTCTGGTCTACCTCCTGGTGCCGCAGGCCACCCCACCTGCCCACCTGCTGTCCTGAGAACCACGCCTTTTCCTCAAATTCTCCAGCCCCTTCCCCAGCTTGCCCTGGCTTATCCCCCAGGGTGCATCGGGTGTGCTCAGACCCCCAGGCCTCACTGCCCCTCTTGGGGGTCAGCCTCCCAACCCTGAGTGGGGGGGGGGGCCTGGTTTTTGGGGCGGGCCCCCCCCAACACTTGGGAAACAGCGCTGGCAGCTGTAACCTGTCGCCAGCAGCCGGAATCCATTCGGCCAGCCCTGAGCAGGCTCCCATGGTAGACAGGCGGCTACCTGCTCTTTCTGGGCGTCACCTTCAGTGGAGCCCTGTCTCCCCTCACAGTTCTTCCGGCCATCAGACTCTGGCCCCTGGCTCTGTGGGCAGTGCCCTGCCTGGGGCTGCTGAGAAACCCTGTGAGGAGCCAAGTCCAACTCTCCAGGGGGTCCACCCGCTGGGTACTGGGGGTCTGTCTCCAGGGCCATCCCCGGCCCTGAGCCAGGACTGTGCCCAGCGCACATCTCTCTAGGGCTCCTGGCCCCATGGGGGCAGGGGGTGGGGTGTCTCCCTGATCCCTCTTTACCACATCTCCTTCTGTTTGACCATCACCCCTCCCGGTCCCGCAGTACACATTCGGCACCAGCAGGCACACTAGTAAGATCTCCTGAGGCAGCAGGGCAGACTCTGGTGCCCTCCTCGAGGCCCAACACCAGGTGTGCAGGGAGCCCACGTCCCAGAAGTGAGGTCCTGGCCCCGACCCGGGGGGCTAGCTCACCTTGCTGAGCTGGATCTCCATGAGGACATGGTGCTGCCGCCCACTGCCCCCCTTGGTGCGCCAGGAGTTCTGGGGCCTGTTGGGGCCGGAGCAGCGGGAAGGGGAGGCCCCTTTGGCCCTAGAAGGAGAGGGAAGAGGGGCCATGCTGATGCTGGGGTAGGTGGGGGACTTCCTTACTTCCCTCCTCTAAGGGCCAAGGACTCTCTCTCACACTGGTGGGGCAATGGGAGGGCCGCCCTGCCCCTGGCACACCCCATCACCTGTGACTGGGGTGGGGGCCGAAGTCCCGTCCGCCGTAGAGGTGCCAGACCAGGGAGATCTCTCGGAGCACCAGGCGGCTACTGGGTACCGGGAAGTGGGCGGGTGCCCGCAGCAGGTCCGTGCTGCCCAGAGGCCGTGAGAAGTGCCCGTCCTGCACAACGATGGGCCCTGGGAGCAGCTGAGTGACCACGGGCTCCCCATCCCGGGGCTGAGGAAGAAGGGGGGGCGGTTGGCAGACAGCCTCTCCCTCCCTCTGCCCCGTCTCCTGCATGAGATGACCCTCCTGAACTGCCACCGCCTGAGCCTGGGTCACGGCGGCTGCCCCCTGCCGCTGCAGCTCACTTCCTGGCAAGCGTGGGGTGCCAGCTTTCCTTCCTGACCCCATCCCCGAGACTATGGGGACCGCCCGCCCCGCTCTCTCACTCACGAGGATGCCCAGGCCAGGGGCATCAAGGATGCAGAACTCGTCACTGTCCAGGGTGTCTCCGTCGGCCTCTTCCTTGTCCTCCTCCTTGTTCTCCGGCCGGTGGTCGCAGGCGGGGGCTGTGGCAGATGGCGATGGGGGCTGGGCCCCGCTGCGTTCGCCTGGGAACAGGTAGACGGATACGGGGGAGGCCTGAGGGAGGGAGCCACCTGTGGGAGAGAAGCCAGGGTCGTGAGGGGCTGGAGCATTGCCAACCTATACCACCGCCCCGGGCCCCGAGCACCCCTGCTCACCTGAGGGCTGGGCCAGCTCCCGCAGGCTGCGGCCTGTGTCGAGGAGGGCATCGGTCAGGTCCCGCTGGTTGATCAGGGCTGTCTCCAGGGGTGGTGGGCAGGAGGGCAGGGAGGCGGGGCTCTCGGAGAGCTGTGCCGGTTGGGAGAGGGGGTCAGTGCTTGGGGCGACGACAACCCCCGGGGGCTCCCCGCAACCCCAGGCCCTGGGGGCCATGGCAGGGGAGGGGGCCTGGCCGAGCTGTGCTAGCCTGAGTGGCCAGGCCTCACCTGTACCTTCTGGCCGGCGATCTCCGTGGGGCTGGGGGGCCGGGGTGGGGGGTGCAGGTCTCCCGCGCTCAGTACGTACTGGAGCAGGTTGACCAGCAGCGCGCAGGAGTCGGCGCAGCTGTGGACATGCACCACGTTGTTGGAGCAGCGCAGCTCGAACAGCGGCTGGCTCTGCAGGTGGGCAGGGGCAGGGGGGTCAGGGCAGGCCCCATGCACAGCCCCCACCAGACCAGTCTGTCTGCCCGCCCACCTGGCTCCCTGGACAAGCCCTACTGC